CATTTTACACCGATGGAGCAATGAGGTCCTGGATTTTCACTCTAAGATGCTGTTTCTTCCATGGATGGTAAGCAAAGCAGTGAAGTATCAGCTATTCACAGGTAAGCAACAAAGGTTATCATGTTTCGGGATTGGTGTGACCTGGTGTGGCACAGCAGCTATGAAGCTCCAGTTATCTCACTGCATTAATTACAGCCATCTTAATTATTTGTTAGTTCCATCTAATCAGCTAGGAACTCTGCTACACACAGGGCAGATCTACTGGCATTACTCCGCATCCTTGGGGTTACCCAGCAATGCTCATCTCCCCACTTTTAAAATAGACTTCTCCCCACACTCGGAGGATTGCTTAAGTATAATGAGACCAAAGGTTAGAATATAGTGCTCCATTGGTTTGTTTTTCTAATCTCAGTGATTCTGCAGGCTCCGAGGCTGATCTTTCAATATTTACTCTTCTGGGCCCGCAGTGTGGATGTCTGTAGTTCCCCTGAACTCAACAAATCTACTCACATATCAATTACTAACAGAATCAGGGGCAGCACATCCCACATCTGCCTTTCTTTTGCAATATCCACGTCTTTTGAAGCTTTCAAAGATCTTTGCCTAGATTGGGTGAAGGATCACACCGGAATCTGTTGCGCTGCTTTTGGCTGCAAGAAACAAACTTGTCTGCCAGGGTAATCCCCCAGGAAAGCTTTGCCCGGCCAACAGTGGGTAAGCACCGCCCCGGCCAGCTGCAGCACTCCACTGCCCTGTCCACCTTTTCTTCTTCTATTTTTTTTTTTGGCACTTAGCAAAATGCTGAGACAAACCTGTTGATACCAGCTGAGAGAAATTGCAAAGATCAGCCTTTGACTTTTGCGCTGCTGTTGCAAGCACCGCCATTAATTTAGCATACAAGGGAATGGTTATCAGTGTGCAGGAGCAATCACACCCAGCATTAGTAGCAGAGACGAAATCGCGTCTGCAGCCCTGTTGGCACGCTCAACCTGAAATTACTCTTTGGCACACAGCGATTGGAAGAGATTTCCTCTTATGTTGCAAATGTTTGCACAAAATCAATTAAATGATTAGATACAGGCCCAGCTTCAGCGAAGCTTGGATCAATCCTTTCAAGCTCCCAAAGGAGCAAACACTTTCCAAACAAGATTTTTAAGGAGATGCCTTTCGGTTCCCATGGGAACTAGACTGTTCTGTGCTAAGCAGGCACCCCCAGGAGATGGTGGCTACGGCAGCACGATGCCCATGCGCTGTGTGCAGAGGGAAAAGGGCCTGGCACCTGGGGAGAGGCTATTGCACAGCCGGGTCATTCTCAGCCATCATTCATTATTTTTCTTACGTTATTCAGAGTTATGGAACAAAGCGTACTGGCCATTTAACCTGTACATCCCTCCTGGGCTAGTATTATCCCACTCCAGATTTCTCTACAGTACTACCCGTAGAGAAATTTCTCCTGCTTCTGGAGAAATAAAATAGGATTTTGGAAGAAGGCAGTGCTGGTGAGCCCAGTGGTAAATCAGAGCCCTGCAAGCACTGGGTTCTGAATTTCCCTGTAACCCCGTGGTATTAAGAGATGAGATTAACTCCAGTAGCTTCCAGGTACTCTCTTTCTCACACCCAGGAGAGCAGAAATGTTAGAATCTGTAACCACAGTTTTATTTTTATAGCCCTGTAGTTAAGGAGGGACATACAAGAATATCACAGGTGCCAGGGTAAGGACTCGCAGATCCAACATCACACCTAAACCACCTCCTTAACAGTATAAAGAACTGCAAGCTGATCTAATAGAATCTGTTACATTATCAGGTGGTTAGTCTGCATGAAAGCACAGATAATGTCTTTCTCATTACTACAGTAATGAGGCTTCAGAAACGGAAATAAACTGCAGACCCAGCCAGTATCTGTGGGAAATATGACAGTGATGTACCTTCAGGGAAAACTGGCAGGAATGTATAAGATAGGCGATGGTTACTGTGCTGCTCCGGCTTATCCCCAGGCTGGAGAACACCAGCACCGCTCCGCGAGCCAGCTGAGCATCTGAGTAAAGAAATGCCAATCACAAATTAGTGATCTGGGAAATCAAGTTTCTGATTGTACAGTCAAGTGCTAATTCAGTGACAGCTGACAGGCAAGCAGCCTGAGCGACGGGAACCCTCATGAACCCTGACAGCAGCAGACGGGCACTGCCAGCTCCCATTTCTGTAAGCATTTGCCTTTCTTAAAAATGCACTGACTTAAAACGTGGCTTTGAAGATGAGAAACAAATGCAAATGACCAGTCAATGCTTCATTACAGATCAGTGTCACCTTTACATCAGATAACTGAAGAAAAGTGGCCTACCATGACCAATCAGCTGTGGTCAGCATCACGTCAGCTACTCAAACTCCCCCCAGAAAGGTTTGAAGGTATTGAAATTTCTGATGAAGGCAAGCCTAACTGTTCGCCACTGAAGCTGGAGAAATCAGCTTTCAAACTGGAGGGGACTTCAATCCCTCACTCCTCTGTGAGGATCACCAGCAGGAAACACATACGTGCCAGCTACGGCGCTGATTTTGTGATGTTTTTATGATGGGTATGTTGCAGTGTGCTAAGATCCGCAAACTCATTTTCTATAAAAAACAAGCCTGCTTGGCTTTCAGAGGATGCTGTCGCTCACTGCTAACCACATCAACTCTGCTATCTATGCCTGAAAGGTTGCATATTTTATTAATAACCTTTTGAATTCTTTCCCTCCCTCTCCAGAGCAGACAGCATGACATGTTTTTAGAATATCAGCAACGGAACTCTAGAATTCATAGGGCAAAGCCCCTTCTTTTCCTGTTGTTGAGAGATTGTAGGGGTTTGTGTTTTTTTCTTCAAGCTCTAAACCAGAGTTTTCTGACTTATTTCTATCATGACATACTAGTTCTGTTCTAAGACCTGACTAGAAATGGCCTCACTCCAACATACACCTGGCATGAGGACACTCGCACTCCTCTGACAGTATGTGGAGAGCTTTAGTCTAGTATTCACCCATAACCGTTCCAGTTTAAGTAATCTACTCTAGACTGCCAAGTAAACAGTTAGACTATCAAGTAAACAGTATACACTTCCACAAGAGCTATAGCTAATAAACTCTTAGAGTCTGTTTTGGAAACTTCCACAAACTGATGTGAGAAAGAAACTTTCTTCTGGGCAAAACCTGAGGCAAAATGAAAGGCAAGTAAGTGGATTTTTGGTATTTGTGTTTCAATGCATGCAAATCATGACATTCAGTTCAGGACTACAAAATTATATCCTCAAATATTGTTTCTTTGTTTCTTTCAAATATTGTTTCTTTGTTTCTTTCTTTGTGTCCAGTTGTCATGACTTATTTTGTACTTGGATTATACGGTCTGTGCAGACGGGGTTGTCGTTTTCTTCTGGGTCTGTACAACCCACAGCTCACAGGGCTTTGGTCTGTGGCAGGTGCTATTATTTCGTAAGTGCGATAAAAGATAACGACATGGTTGGACGCCATCACAGGATAGAGCTGCGGGAGCTATGCCTGCTGTGCTGCTGCAGGCACTGAGCTGGAAAGTATGTTTTTTCTTGCCCTCTCTGATGTAATCAGCTGAAGGCAGGTTTATGCCGTCCAACCAGAAAGTCTTCCTAGGCCCTACGGTGGGTCTGTACTGCGAATCACAAAGATTAGCAGCATCTTGTTGGAAGTCCTCCAACACGTGTCACACTCTTGTTCAAATAAAGCCCTGGCGGTTGAAGATTTGGGTTGGTAAGAGTCAAAGGGCTTTTAATTTAAGAGCATGTATTTATAAATAAATAAAATAAATATACAAATTAAGAAAATTTAAGAACAAAGGAATAGGAGGGAATCCGATGAAGCCCTAATAGACATCCTACAGCAAAGCCTTCTCAGATCTAGTGGAAATCTCACAATTATCGGAGAGTGAGATAGTCTTTAAAGTGAGTAGGAACATCAGAGTCAGATGCCCTGTAAAATCTCCTCTCTGACAACCAGGCTGGTTAGTAAGGCAGCTCTGGTATCCATTAGGGTGTGGGCTTGCTTGGGAGTATGCTGATCTTGAAAGATTACGACCCTCCTGTCTGAGCTTCCTCTTAGAGTGTATTGCGGTCACTCCCATCTAATATCCTAGAGTGAGCAAGGTCTCAGGAATTCCAGATTAGGAACAACTCACCGATGAAATGACAAATAGTGGCAAAGGTAGAAAAAAGATTTGCTTCGAGCGAATCTGGAACAGGTACATGGAGATATTTGCTGCCTTCTGCAAACCTGAAAAAAGACCACACGGCGTGACATGGACCAGAGAAGCACCTTTGAAAAAATGTGTTTGTTGGAGGCAAGCTGATAATTTTGTTTGCTGTTACACGTGTGAGTTTTTCATCATCATCATCATTAACATTATGATAAGGGATTTGTTATGGTAAGACACTGAGGTGCTTGTAATACAGAACCACTTTAATTACTGACTTTCCATTCCACATGGTATCAGCATTGATGTCTTAACTTAACCTACAGCTTCCTTTATCTGAGAGCTAAATGAAAACAGGTGAGCTGAAAGCAAGAGTGCTTTCACAGCGTGCACGGTGGGCAGTTTAGTGAACATAGCCCCCAAATTCACTTCACGTGGTTTTCTATGACAGCATCTTCCTCCTTCCGCAAGCTCAGAGACCTCAACTCAGAGAACTAACGGAGCAAAATGTCGGTGAGGAATTTCTGAAATGTGAAAGCATATCATGCAGAGGGCATGGGAAGATTACCCACGATGTAGAGACCTTTGAATATTTTCCTCTGGAGCCAAAGGCATGAGAAATGTCTCCTGGTACTGGGCACTGGGGTAGGTAACTGGATTTGTTACTTGCTTTGTTTTGGCCACCACCTTGAGAAATGCCACTGGCTTTTTCCCTGTGTGAAATGGCATTTCCAGCACGGCCTGCAGACTGAGCACAATGGTCATGGACAGATGTAGGTAAGGAAGGAAGATCAACAATGCGAAACATCAGCAATTTAGATTTTACACTGATGCATTTGTAACGTTTTGCTCTGAAAGCTACTCAGAGATGTAGGTTTTTCCCAAAGGATGACGGTCTGTGGTAGACTCGCAATGCCAAGGGCCTCCTAGTCCTCCCCTCACCCAATCCACCCTTGTCATGCTAGAGGGCTGCAGGACTGCATTGCTGCTGTGCTAACTCTGGAGTAGAGATCAGAAAAATAAGCATGAAATAGCACTCAAATCTGCAGTGTTCCTCCAACCAGGGGTTTCCTTGGAAGTTCACAGGCACTGACTCGTCTGCAAATGGGCTCTGGTGCTGTGCCACCTGACTTTTTTTCACAGGAACAGACACTGGCGAGGGTACACCTTGAACCATTTAACTTACAGTGTGGCATGCTGTTCAGAGATGTTGACTTGTGCTTTGATCTTCAGATCTTTCTGAATTTGTTGGTCACAGGCCTGCTTGAAATTACCCATGTATAACTTTGCAGGCAGTATTTCTACAGGGTACGGCTGGAAGTTTTCTAGTTCCTGCCAGAGAGAAACCATGGACTGCGTTTACAGGGTGTATTTGCTCCTATTAGCTTGGTAAGTTCTTAAACAGAAGTCATGTGAAGAATTGAACACACACTTAGTGAACAGCCCATGACACGTTCTAGTGTAATGATTCATTTAATCACCTGGACTTTCTGTATATTGACATCTTTGCTTGATTCAGTGATAATAATCAGCAGCAGTGCTGTCATTGTGGTCTTGCTTGAAACAAATGCTAAACAGGAGGTGGCATATTTTCTTTACCTTGTCTGGAGGGACTGCAGCATAACAGATCCATTTGATGTTCTCCCCGGTTACTGTTTGCAAGGCTAAATGATATCATCTGCCACCTGCAGAGCTGCAGGTGCCCTGTAGTGGCACAATGCAAGTCTGCAGCTGCTTCCGCTGTCTGCAGCGTGAGGGTTGAGAATAAAAATAGACAAGTGGTTGACAGTGCCTGTACATACCTAACTGATACTCGGCTAATGGTACAGGAGAACAAACCTAACTGATACTCGGCTAATGGTACAGCAGAAATGTTAGGCAGCAGCCTAACAATTTGAAGCAACAGAGAACAGCTTAAACCGAGAGGAAAGGAGGTACTCTGTGTCCAATTGAATCTGATGGGGAAGTTCAGCAGTTCGCTACCCTTCACAAAGAAGCGCAAAGTGAATTGATTTTCTCTCCTGCGCGGTAGCATCCCACAGGGTAGCACTGTGTCATGGGCTGTTTCATGTGAACCAGATGTGAAGGGGTACAACAGAAACAAAAGCTATGTTGTGACGAGATGCTTTCTGCTGTCCAGTACCCTCTAAATCTGCCCTGCCTCAGGTCCTGTCCTAGATGTGAAAAAAGTGTAATTGTTTCTCACAAGCTAAATAGATCATCGGTTGTAGGTGAAACCAAACAATTAGGATACCAGTGTTCCAGTGGATGGCTGTTTTCTTTCTGGGCCTGTTGAAACAATGCAGCAGCACTTGCTTTGTGATCCTTCCCCAGGAAAAGCTTTATAGACATGGAACACAGTGCTTGATAGGAATTGTACTTCTGTCTGAAAACGTTTACTGTGTAACAACCCAGATAACCACGTGTCAGAGAGGAACCTGCTTTTTTTCATCACTTGCTACTGTTTGTTTAGTTATCTGTGCTCTCTAGTAGGCCAGTTTCGGGGTTATCAGAGAAACTTTCCCAGGTTGTTTTCATGAGCTTTCTTTCACATGATAGAAGAAGGATAAAAAAGGCAAAGTGTGGCTGTAAAAGAATTAGTGGTGACAGTCAAGGAAAGCACAGTAACTCAAATTACATTTTAATTCTTTTGTTTGAAAATACTCTGATATCAGGTTTACAACACCATTTAACTCGACTTCATTAGCCATCATCAGCTGAATATGAATGCTAATGTCTTCTGCTTGCAAATTAGTCTCATCTCACCTGAGGCATCCACAGTATCTTCTGAGTCCGCAGAAAATGATAGCAAGCTGAAAAATGCTTGTATCCTCCCCTCAGGACCAGCACGGGATGGCGGGTGAACTGCTCCAAGCTTCTGGCATATTGGATGGCACTTCCCTCCTCAGCATCTAATGAGATCAAAAATCTATTTGCCAGGGCAGGTTTAGAGTGCCTCCAACAGCACTGGGGGTTACATCTGGCCCACTGACACTGACAGCAAACTCGTTTTTATTTCATCTAATGGTCTGTAGAAAGCTGTGTTAAAAGCTAGACTTATTCTGTTGCTGCAGGTCAAAAACAAGGCACACTGCTTGTGCCTCTTGTCCTGATCTTTTATTCTTCTCCTGGTTTCTTTTGTAGGTCAAGATAAAGTTGGTTTTTTTTTCCCCTCCCCATTATTCTTCAGGAAATGTTTATAATAAGTTCTCATAATAGGGAAGTATTATTAATTTAAATCTAATAATCTCAGTTTTATGGAGGCCCTTTTTTTAGTCTGTTTTAGTCAAAGGGGGAAAGCAGGAGCTATCTTGAATAAATTCTTCATAAGTGTTTTAAATACTCCCCTCGGTGAAGCAAATTGCGTGAGATGGCTGCTCCCCCCACTTCTCCCAAGGGATCCATCCCGCTTGCCTCTAGCTATGTCTGCTTTAGAAATAGATCTGCACAATAGAAACCCACTTCTGATTCTTCACACCTTCCCTTGCTTACCGTCTCATCACTGAGCATTTATGAACATGCTGGCTTTATTCATTCCCCTTACACTCCCAGATTTTTGTCTTAAAAAAGTGATGTAAATCTTTGCTAAATCTATAGTAGCCTTTCCAAAACTAATAGGAGCCAAACAAACATACAAAAGTGGTTCTACATATGGCAGAACTCCTTGCCAAAGGATGCATGAAAGCTAAATATTTCCATGGTTCAAGGAAGGATGAACAATTACATGGGAAAGTTTCCAGCTCTTCACATTTCTCGGTGAATGCCATCAAATCATCACCCCCATTAAAGCTAAGTCTTTTTAAATATGAGAACGTGAAAGCCTTTTATAACCCTCAAAGAAGGAAGTGCTCTGTGAACATAGGGAACTTGAGTCAGTGTTTTCAATCTCTGAAGAAGCACTGCTCCCTAAAAGGCAATCGATGAACAAGCCCAATCTCAGTGAAATGTGAAAAAAAGAAAAAAAGAACCCATTCCTCACATGCAACAAGGAGCTTCAGAGGGATAAGTTCACAGATAGGAAACCAGGCCCACCAGAATGCTTTGAAATAAATTCTGCATTTTTGAAGCTTAAGAACTTATGCAACACAGTGAAAAAAACAGAGGTGTAGCATAGATGTTTGTTTTTCAAATAAAACTGGGTAAATTTGCATCTCTTCCAATAAGTTCATAAAATTAAATGAGGGCTGGGAAGAATATCTATCCAGCAGTAAGGTCTTGACTGACATGGGTCACAGATACCTTTTTCTTTCTCCTCATAGTCACAGCAATCCAAAGAGCTGGTCTCGCGGTCATACACCACACAGTATCTGACACACCCCAACTCCTCTGAATCTGGTACCAGATACTCCCCCGTAGGACTCTACCAAAATCACAGAAGAATTCTATCAGGAGCACAGCTCCACACTTTTCTTGTGGCATCAATGCTACCGACATCCTCCAAGTTACTCATCTATAGCTACCGGATGGGTTTGGGGCTACGTCTGTACTTGACGCTGAAAGACCCGGGTAGAATTCAGAAATGACGCAAACTACGCCAGATTGCTTCATCAGCCACAGCGGTAAAGATGCCAGCACTATCCTTTGTAAGACAAGGCTACAACATGTTAGTTCTTGTGCAATATTTTTCCTGATATACAGCTCCGATGTGCCAATCCTTTGGGCTACTGAAGCCACCTTTGCTTTGTGACAGAATACATCCCCCCAGTGGCAGAAACGGAACATGGCTGGAACAGGCAGGGGAGGCTGGGACAATTCCCGTGGGTTTTAAACCAATTTTGGCTTACTGCTAATTGCTAAATCCAGGGATGGTTTACAGAAACGGTAATCCCCTCACCTGTTCAATCCTGCGTGCTGTAATAATATGGCTCTCATCATATTCACGCTGAGTACGGGCATCTGAAAAAAACAACCAAGACAGAGAAATTGTCTTATTTGATGCTTTAAAGGCAAAATCCTGTTTGTAATTCAGTCACTGGGAATTCAGGCACTGTTATCAACCAGAGAAAGAGCTTAGTTTTTTTAGAAGCTGTGACTTTCTGATGTGGATATAACTGACGCCAATACTGATGTGAGTCTATGCATAACACCAAGTGATGCCAGCAGCTTCAGTCCTGACCTAAGTGTGGTACTGCAGTGTCCACAGTCCCATGTGCCATTCTGCTCTACCTTGAGGCGTAGCCTGGCCCTACTCGCTGGGCTGCTCTGACCTCCCAGTGTCCAGCACCTCTGCCTCTGTGCAGCCCTGGAGATGGGGTAAGGCGCACTGGAGAGACCCAAACCCCACTCCCAAACTGGCTGACTCCCTGTCATGGTTTAAACCGAGCCGGCAGCCAGGACCACGCAGCTGCTCACGCAGTTGTCTCTCTTCCCCCAAGAAGAGCTGGGAGAAGAGGGAGAAAAGGAGGGTAAAGGGAAAGAAAAAACTCATGGGTTGAGATAAAGATAGTTTAATAGAACAGTAACAGAAAAGGAAAATAACAATAATAATGACACAAGTCACTCTCATCACCTGGTAAATCGGTACCTTCCCAAGCAGCGATTGTGGATTCCACCCCCCAGCCAACCCCCATTTATGTACTGAGTATGATGTCTATGGTATGGAATATTCCATTGGCCATTCTGTCGCTCCGTCTATGCTCCTTCTCAGCTTCTATGGGAAGCTGAAAAGAGTCCTTGAAAAGTATAAACATCCCCTAGCAACAACTAAAACAATATGCATTGTTGGCATTCCTTTCACAGCAATCACTGGAAAGAAAATTACCTCTTTCCCAGCTGAAACCAAGGCACTCTGTCACCAAAACGTTAAATAATATTATAATATCAGGCACCCTTTTTTCGGTAGTGGCACTATGCAAGATGCAAATGCCTATCAGCAATCTTTGTGCAATGGTCAAGAAATCGTATCCACCTCTAAAACCTGCGGGAGCAGGTCAAAGAAGGAAGCTGGATGCCAAATGCAAGTGAAAAGACAGCAGTAGCCAGAAAACTTCCTCATTCACACTCTGCTGTTGGGCTAAGTGCCAGGAGAGGCTAATGGCCGTACGCATTTAGCACCGCTGCTTTCTGCGGAGCACAGGGGATGAAAACCGGAGCAGTACCGGGTCATGGCACCTGAAGTGGGATGGGAGAAGCGCCCTGACAGCAAGGCCCCAGCAATTACAAGAGGTGATGTGTACTCTTCCCCGTAGGCCGGAGCCCCCAGACCCCATCTCCTCAGGCCCAGGCCGGCGCAGGCCGCAGGCCCCCCGCCCGCGGGCTCACCCAGCAGGCAGAGGTAGTGGGGCTCCGCCAGGCGGGGACACCGCCGCTGCTGGTTGAGGATGTTGTAGAGGTGCCG